TCCAAGCTTGAATATAATGAACTTTGCTTTGCTTATCTGATAGAAAAAAATGGTATCTTCTTGGGCCAGGCATTTGACTTGGTGGTTAAGCTGCCATTTCAGACAACCACATCCCATATTGGAGTGCCAGGTTCAAGTCCCAGATCCACTCTGCATGCTAGCTTCCTGCTCGTGCATACCCTTGGAGGCAGTAGGTGATGACTCAGGTACATGGGTCTTTGCTTCCCATGTGGGAGACCCTGGTAGAATCCCAGAATTCCAGTGTCTTGTCTTCAGCCTGGCCTAGATCTGGATGTTGCAGGCATTTGTGGAGTAAACCTGCAGAGGGAAGTTGTTTTTTAAAGATTTATTTATTTATTTGAAAGATAGAATTAGGGAAAGACAGAGAGATCTTCCATCTGCTGGTTCATTCCCCAGATGGTAGCAACTTCTGGAGCTGGGCCAATCCAAAACCAAGAGCTTCTTCTCGGACTCCCATGTGAGTGCAGGGGCTCAAGCACTTGGGCCATCTTCTGCTACTTTCCCAGGCACATTAGCAGGGAGCTGGATTGGAAGTAGAGCAGCCAGGACTTAAATCAGTACCCGTGTGGGAATGCTAGCATTGCAGGCAGCAGCTTAACCTCCTGTACCACAATGCTGGCCCCTGGAAGCTCTTTCTCCATCTGTCTCTGTCTCTGTGTCTCAAATAAATAAAATAAATACATTTTAAAAATGGTATCATCTTGAATTTTTTGATTCATATACATGTTTTTTGACAGGATTATACTCATGCATGGATTTCAAAGTTTATTTGGTACCAAAATAAGTTTATCTTTTAATCCCATTTTCCATGGATTTGTTTGAAGCAACCTCATGGAATCTCTGTATGAATCCCTGCTCATGGCTGGCTGACATGGATTTTCACTCTGCTCAGACAGCATGTTTTCCCGTAGATGCAACGCAATGTGCTGAGATTGACTGTCTGCCCGTCTGCCCCCCAGAGCAGCTCCATCTCTGGGAGTCCTTATTCTGCGAGTGCAGCTACTCTTAAGGCAGTAGGAATTTTTCCTTTGGCTGCAGAGGAACCTAATTGAGCCCTTAGGACATAGAGTGTTAGGACAGGAGTCTGCCTGTCTGAGAACATGTCTGTAGTTTACTGCTGGTCACTTAGAGTCAATTCCAGTTTTGAGAGAGTCACTGGGCTCTTTCCAGCGCCTTTTCCCGGAGGAAGTTTTCCAAAGGTTCGTGGTAGCATTCACTGTCTCACTCACTTCACGTGCTCTGCTGATGGGCGTGAGGCGCACTGCTGTTTTTGTGTAGCCTCACCGCCACCCAGCTGCACATCTGCTCCCAGACTGAAACTGGGAACCCACTACACAGGAACTCCCCCGTTCACGCCGCAGTGAGCACCCTCTCCTGTAAAACAGGCACTCCTGTCCCCTAGAGCTGTTCTCAGAGTGAGAGTTAGAAGTACGTAAAGCGAGGTGCTTGGCTCTGATTCACTTCCCTTCCTCCTGCTTGTGAGCTTATCACAAATAAAACTTCGAGTAGAGCGCATCCTCAATCCTCTCCAAGCCTTTTATAAAGGTTGTTATACGTATAGAAAAGGTTTATTTGAAAGATAGTCACAGAGAGGGACAGAGACAGCTTTCATCCACTGGTTCACTCCCCCAATGCATACAATAGCCAGGAGCCCAGAGCTTCCTCTGACTCTCCCATGTGGGTGCAGGGGCCTAAGCACTTGGGCCATCTTCTGCTGATTTCCCAGGTGCACTGACAGGGAGCTGCCCAGTCTAGAACCTGCGCCCATATGGCGTGCTGGCACTGCAGGCAGTGGCTTTACCCACTATGTCACAATGCCAGCCCCAGAGGTACATGTTTTAAGTAAGCAGATTATAAGAAAGTAATTGAGGATGTGTTTAATTGGAGGTGGGTATACACTTGCAGAGGAAAGAAAAGAGGGTTTAAGGGATTAAAATGACCCAGAACACACACAAAGCAATTTTTAGAGTTGGATTCCTTCCTTATTTTTTAGAAACTTGGTGTTTCCTTTGTGTGTGAGCTCGGTGTCCACAGACACAGATGTGGTCCGATGGTGATGTTTTATTCCGTGTATGTTTTGCTCTCCATTTTCAAATGGACTTCTTATCCTTTATTACTCTGTTCGACTTCCTAGTTAAAAGTTCACTGTTACTTTTCATTTGTTACTGTTTTAGAACTTTGCTTGGACATTTACTATATTTTACAATCAGGTTTTACAAAGATTTCTGTTTGAAAATCTGGTTTTGTTTGAGGGGAGATGGGAGACAGAAAAGCCAACTGTAGAATTTATTTAGAATGATGTTTCCTGTAAGAGACTGGCATAAAGTTAATCATCTGTACTCCTCTGTATTTGTTTTCAAGTAAGGAAAATTGTATTTTGTATCTTTTTACTCACTGTGGCATAGCAGCTTTTTTTTTTTTTTTTTTTTTTTTTTGTAACATTTATTTTATTTTTTTGAAAGGCAGTTAGAAAGAAGGAGGGAGGGAGGGAGAGACAGAAGTCCTTCATCACTGGCTAACTTCTCAAATGGCCGCAGAGCTTCCTCTGGGTCTCCGGTGTGGGTGCAGGAGCCCAAGCATTTGGACCCTCCTCCGCTACCTTCCCAGGTACGGCAGGGAGCTGGATTGGAAATGGAGCAGCTTGGACATGAACCAGCGCCCACATGGGATGCTGGTGCTGCAGGTGGTGGCTTAACCCACTATGCCACAGTGCTGGCCCCAGTGTAGCAGCTTTTTAATGTAACATTTCTAGCCTGCAGCTTACCTTTAGTGCTGATGTTTGTGCCACTAATGCCACTAGATTTCTTAATGCCCAAACCTCTATTAAATAAAGAATACATTGTCACTTTAATCTTACTAGGATTATAATGGTGGAAAAGACGTGGTCCCTTCCTATAGGGGGCGAGTCTGGTAGAGGAGAGACAGGGGCTCAGAAACAGCCGTGGTAACCAGAGCCAGGACAGGAGGTGGGCGTGACAGGAGGTGGGTGGGCAGCCTGGAAGTGGCAGGGGAAAGAACAGGGAGGACTCGGAGTGGACATTTGGTGCAGTGGTTAAGCATGCGACACTTGTATCCCTTCTCAGAGTGCCTGGTTCAAGTCCAGAGGATCTGCACAGGGAAAAGAGAAATGGGGTGCTGGCATAGTTAAGCACCACAGGTACCCCAAGAAGGAGGGAAGCAGCTCTGGGCAGTGTACCCAAACATGGTTCTGTGCAAAGGGCAAGGTGTGGACCTTCTCCCTGTGTGTGAATCTCGAAGGGGCTGCCTCTCGGAGGTGGAATTGGGTAGCTGAGGAGCAGTGTAGATTTTGCACCATGTTTGGGTTTGTCTATTCCAAAAATGACTTCTTATGCTTAGGTAGGGAAAGAGAAGCTGGAAAGAGCAAAGGAAAATTAGTGGTTGGCAAATAATATTCAGGGGTCAAGTGACTTTTTTTTTATAAATTTGTATTTTATTTATTTTAATTTATGTGAAAGAGAAACAGACAGATCTCCCATCCATTGGTTTGCTCCCCAAATGTACACAACAACTGGGACTGGACCAGGCGGAAGCCAGGAGCTTAGATTTCAATCCAGACCTCCCACATGGGTGGCCTAAGTACTTGGGCCATCACCTGCTGCTTCCCGGGGTCATACTAGCAGGAAGCTGGAATCAGAAGCGGAGCAGGAACTAAAACTCAGGCACTTTGATATGGGATGTGAGTGTCTCAAGTATCAAAATGCCTGCCCTTCGACTGACATTTAAAATTTTTCTTTATTTTTTAAAGATTTATTAATTATTTGAAAGGCAGAGTTAGTGAGAGGGAGAGGCAGATCTTCCGTCTTCTAGTTTCCTGCCCACTTGGCCACAACAGCAAGGGCTGGGCTAGCCCAGGAGCCTGGACCTCCATCTGAGTTTCCCACATGGGTGCAGGGGCCCAGGCACTTGGGCCATCTTCCACTGCTTTCCCAGACACATTGGCAGGGAGCTGGATCAAAAGCAGAGCAGCTGGGACTCGAACTGGCACTCACAGGGGATGTTGGTGTTGCAGGCAGTGGCTTAACTCGCTAGACTACAACATCCAGCCCCTGAAGTGACATTTTTAAGACAGAAGTCTCTGTTGGCTATTTAACTAAGAGCTTTCCAGCTGTCATTGGAAGTTTATGTGTGGTGATGAGGTGGAAGTCAGGTTATAGCAAGTTAGTTTTTAGTCCCAAATATCACCAGTTGGTTATGTGGGAGAGAGATTTAGGAAGGGCTGTCATTTTTTTTTTTTTTTTAAGACTTATTTATTTATTTGAAAGAGTTACACAGAGAGAAGGAGAGGCAGGGAAAGAAAAGAGGTCTTTGCTGCAACAGCTGGATCTGCACTGATCCAAAGCCAGGAGCCAGGAGCTTCTTCCAGGTCTCCCACGCGGGTGCAGGGACCCAAGGACTTGGGCCATCTTCTACTGCTTTTCCGGGCCACAGCAGGGAGCTGGATCAGAAGTGGAGCAGCCAGGACTCGAACTGGTGCCCATATGGGATGCCGGCACTGCAGGCAGTGTCTTTACCTGCTATGCCACAGCGCTGGCCTGAAGGGCTATAACTTGAAGTGTAACCATTTTTTTTTTTTTATAATCAAAAGGTGTCAAATGTAACTTGAAGATTTAGTGTTAGGACAGAAAGGAGCCTTAGAGTTTCTTAATCTAAAGTGGGCATTTGTAAATGAAGGAACCATAGCCAGAGGAAAGGAACACCCTGCTTGGACCAGTGTGAGGCCTGCCTGGCACCCACCTATCCAGTGCTCAGTCTCCCCACTCATGGGCAGTAGAGATTTGCCGTGAGAAGGTAAAAATGACAGCTGTACAGGATTCAAACTCAGTGGCAGCTGACTGTTCATGGATTATTTAAGCCACCATTCTTTCCAGTATGTTATAGCCGTGATGTTCTGAATTGTTCCCTTGGAAAGACGCTAGGCCTTCAATTCACTGCCTTTTGTCACACCCCTGTCTTCCTAGACCAGTGGACAGATTTGATCGTGAGAGGCCTCTTCGTGGACGTGGAGGCCCGAGAGGAGGCATGCGAGGCAGAGGCAGGGGCGCTCCCGGAAACAGAGCCTTTGATGCTTTTGACCAGAGAGGAAAACGAGATTTTGAAAGATACGGTGGGAATGATAAAATGTAAGTTTCTCTGTTCTTTTACTTACTGATTTTTGGTAATATGTGGTGCCCATCTGATAGGTGCTGAGATGTAATTAACTGAAACTAGGCTCCCACGGGAAGCATTGTGGGATGACTTTGCTGATGTGGAGACTGGCTGGAGAGCAGCTTCCATCTGAAAGGCGTCTTTATTCTCTCTCTCTAGAGCAGTCAGAACTGAAGACAACACGGGATATGGAGTGCGCACTTGGGCATCAGGGAAAGACACCAGGTATGGTGTGCGCGTGTGGCCTCCGAGAACCTGCAGTGCAGTGGGAATTCTGGCTGGGTTTGTTTTTCTCTAAAATGGTGTGCCCATAAATGGAGATAGAGCTTGGGCTTTTGGTTAGTAAGATAACTTTTTTTTAATGTTTATTTTTATTTACTTTTACCTTTGAAAGAGTGTCAGACAGAAAGAGAGGAAGAAGAAGGGAGAGAGGGAGGTATCTTTTACTCACTACCCACTGGTTAACTCCCCAAATGCATGCAACAGCCAGGGCTGGGCCAGGCTGATGCCAGGAGCCTGGAACTCCTTCCTGGTCTCCCACATGGGTGGCAGAGGCCCAGTTACTTCCATCGCAGGATGCATGAGCAGGAAGCTGGATTGGAAGTGGAACAGCTGGGACCCAAACCCAGCACTCTGATGTTGGATGCACTGTTGGATGCAGTGTTCCAAGTGGTGGCATAACCTGCCAGGCCACACCACCCATCCCCAGTGAGATACTTTAAAAATAAGTTTTCTGTTTCATGATTATATTTGAAACTACTTTTAATATTTTACTATTTTGGTCAAACTTGTGACAAATAATCACATATTTGCCAATGCCCAAAGCACATGTCCATTTGTACATGCCTTTGAATGCTTTGAGTTTTCTAGATAGCTAATACTTTATTTTTCTCTGACTTTGCAAAAACTCTTTTTTTAAAGATTTATTTATTTATTTGAAAGTCAGTTACACAGAGGCAGAGAGAGAGAGAGAGGTCTTCCATCCACTGGTTCACTCCCCAATTGGCCAACAAATGGCTGGAAGCTTGTGCCGATCTGAAGGCCAGGGAGCCTTCCTCCTGGGTCTCCCACTGTGGGT